ATTCCTGCATTTTTGTTAGAGGTACAGTGCAACTGCTCACTGGCAACAGAGGACAAACTCAAAACCTGTTTTGGCAATAGAACTGAAAATGGTAAAAATATAGTACAGATTTGATTGCAATTCATTTTAGAATTGTATGATTTTATTAAACCCAAAAATAGTTAATATTGGAAATAATTACATTATGGTAATGAATTAGATATTTTGAACAATTTAGTCTAAGAGTGTTAAAAAGCATGAAATATACTGGGGGACACCCCCCCCCTCAAATTACCATAATATGATTTTGAGGTAAATATTAATCAAATTTTATTATTAATACCAATGTTAAACAAGGTTTTTTTCTGAGAGGTTAAAATCACCAGGTTAAGAAGATGATCCTTCTTTTTGTGAGTATATTTCTGCTTATGTTTTAGTATTAAGCTTACTCTGTCCCCAGGTCAGAACTAATACACAGTAATGCTATTCCGAATGCTTCTTTTTCATGTTCTAAGGCTTACTCAGAGAACAAATACAAGTAATTAGTAATTTAGCCAATTTTTAGATTAAATGTTAATTATAAGGTCAAAACCTGTACATAGATAGAATTTATCAGAGTAAGGTGAAGATTCAGAGTACTGAAACTATAAAAATTTTTGTTGTCCAATTGATACACTGGAAGGTACTTCATAGTTGTTCATTCTTATATTTACAAATCAAGACTAATTCACAGCCGTATTTTTTCCCTTTTGAATATATTCATTGCATAACTTGATTACACATTTGTCAACTTTGGACTAATTATTTTTCTACAGCTAGGGCAGGGCATTGCAGCTTCTGATCGTCTTTCTTACTAATAGGATTCTGTCTGCTTCAGCAGGCAGTAATTGAAGGCTTCGTGTACAAGATTTAAAGAAAGGGCAGAGAAAAAAAAGTTTTAGCCTCCATGGGCCATTGTCACTGTTTCTGGTAAGCAGTAGAACAGAAAAAGAAGAAAATTTAGCTTGAATAGAAAAATCAAAGAGGTAGGAGAACGCCCGACAGGAGAGAATGTATGTTTTAGTGTTGTTATGTTATGTTTTCTGCTGTAAACAAATGTGTCCCGATAGTGATTGTTCAGGTGTAAATTTACTTTCTCAGATGTTGAATTTTAAGGAGCAGATTTTGAGCGACTTACTCTGTTACTGTCTATTCACTGGCGTGGAATTTTCAGAACCTTTCCCCATAAAAATGCCTCTCCTATATATTGTAGCTATCTTCTGTCTACAAATAAAGGGAAAATAACTGCTAGTCTGTAGTTAGGCTAGTCAGCATTACAAAGCCAGTGTTTGGCAAATGCTGTCACATTGTAGTATCGAATACTCTGTGTTTTCCCTTTATATCAACTATAAATCAGATATTTTTGTGTGGTAATCATTATCAAACCTTATTTTCATGGAAAGCGACCAAGAATATGTACCTGATTTTTAACTCTTGACAGACTGAATGACTTTCTGAAAATATACAGTACTTTACTGATGTTGATTTAGAATTTGATTCTTAATATACATTTCCTTACCTACTGACAGTACTCTTTTTATGTTTAAATAATCTATGAACTCCTTTTTTCTTCCATGTCACATAACCTCAGAATATTTAACATTTTTTTTAAAGAAAAAAAAAATTTGGAAAAACTCAGAATATGCAAATTCATCTCACATTGTTATGTTTCTAATCTGTCCTGATTTTTTTTTAAACGGGAAAAGTACTAACAGCTGCAAATCTTCCTGAATATTTTTAATGATGTGAAATCAGTTTTAGAATTAATACTATCACAGAAAGAAAACCAGAAAATAACAACACTATAGCAGAAACAGCCATCTTGAAACTATTAGTAAATATTTGGTTCTGTTTTCTGAATCGTATTCTCATTTACTTTCTTTTTTTCATATTCACTGATGCATCCTTTGTTGCAACAGAACCATGCTAATAATACGATGTCTTGTGTTAAGAGTTGTCCTTAGGACAAATTCTTTCTTTTAGACCTACAAACAGCCGATTTACAAACTAGATTTTGAAGTACTATAGTGCAGTTTCCAGGGCTTATTTCAGTCTATGAATTCTGATTGGTTTTAATATCTTTTCTGCAATTTTTTTGTATTCAAATTGTAACCTTTAAGGCAGTATCAACTTTTAGAAAAAGTGAAATAATAATTACTGACCTTGTGGGAAAAACAAGTTTCTCACAAAGAATAAATACCTACTATAGAGAGTGATTAATTTTTGCTGCTGAAAGATTTTTTTAATGGTTTTATGGTTTAAGTATTTAGTTGAGCACAACACACATTTTGGAAAATCCACGTGGGCTTATGATAAGGGTAAGCATACAAATGCAATAACATGCACTTACTCAAAAAACCAGCTATTACCCAAATCCTTCAATGACAGTATATTTAGAACATCTGAATAATTAGCAAATCAGTTTTACTGACAGTGCCTGTAAGCAAAAGTCGGCTGCTTCATCCTTTTATAACTGTATTAGGTTTCAAAGATCATGTAAGCATATTTATAACTCTCTTTAGAAACAAAATTATCTTCCCTACTTTAAGGAACAGATTTCGATTTCCAAAGTTCAAAAGCAGTGGTAAACCCATTGTGTGGTTGTTCTTCTATACAGGCTTTTTTAATGGTGAAATAAGTTGTCCCATTCTTTTCCAATTCTTTTTTTACTAAGCGATTTCAGGTCGGTGACCATTGATACAAACCAGTTAGCCACTGCTAGTTATGCATACTAACACTTTGTGTAAAATTATCCGAGTCTCAGACCCGTTGTGTCTTGCAAACCACACAGACTCACATTTTATTGATTTTATGTGTTTTGTTCAGAGGTATGGAAAAGTACTATTGATCCCCTCTGTGATTTTGCAAATCCACATGTAAAAATATCAGCGCAAAACTCATCACTGATGCTTTGGGCCACCTTGGCTTTTGAAGAACTGACTTTGTATCACTTTCACGTTTTAATAAAAGAGGGTAAAATCAAGCCTCGGGGCTATGAAACACAGCAGGAGTGCCAACTACCAACCTATTTATGTGCATACTCAGACATAATCTGCTTCTCTGTTGTCCCAAGACACAACTGTTAAGTAAATAAAGTGACTAATAAGACTATTGTTTCTATAATTATCCCCCTGTCAAAATCAACAAGAGAAATAGTGATCTTCTACATTGCAGTGCAAATAGATGAAATCATTGATATAACTAGCTAAGTAGCTAATTTTTATAGTAGTAACGTTGTTTTAGAACCTCCTATTAAAGGGAGAGTTCTTTGAATGTATCTATAATCCAGACAAAAGAAATAGATTGACCTGTGATGGGTGACATTAGAGAAGTGCCCCATGTTTCCTTAATTAGTATAATGTGTTAGGAGATTTTGATATGCTTAGTTTAAAAAGAAAAAAGACAGAAATTACTTCTCGTTTAAAGAGAACCTGCTTCCTGCTTAAGTGGCTAATATTTTAATTAAGTCTGGAGTGAAGTTTTTTGAGTATCTCCTGATAAACTCCCTCCTTTATGTTGATGGTAATTAAACAGATCCCCAAGGGCTTGGGTAGGCGCTTTGCGAGGCCCATGCTAATTGTCAGACATGAGACACTGACCAGTTGGTTTGCTCTTGAATAGCCGACAGCGTGCTGTCAGCCCAGCAGTTTGATTTTTCTGTATTGTGAGCTGTTGTCAGGGCTAACTGGGTCCTATTGTGGCTGAAGATGTTGCGCAAATTGAGGCAGATGGCTCTGATTCAGACACGTGTCATTCAGAAAGAGGAGAGGAGATTGGCCCTGCAAAGTGGGGTCAGACTGGGTCACAGACCTGCTCTACACTTGTTAGTGTTTTCAAAAGCCCATGTGCAGCAACTTTGTTGTTGTCAAGTAACCAAGGGGAAGAAAAAAAAAAGGCAAAAAAAAGCGTGGTGTGCTCCTTGTGGAAGATGGAAGATGAGGCTGTTGCCTTCCTCTTCTGTTGCCAACCTCTTCCTTCCCGTCTCTTGGGCCTGGCTGTGCATGCAGAATGAATTAACAGGATTGACAGAAGTTCATTGTGCCTAAAATGGCTTTTCAGTCAATTGTGGTGCTTAAAAGGCTAGTTTTGCTTTTAATTCCATGTAATTAGTGGGTTCTTCATGTCTTGGAATTTAGTAATGGTGCATTAGTCCTAATTTTTGTTTATCTGGTTGGTTGGAGGGGGGCAGGTATTTGCTTTGTAGGGTCTTTAATAGTTAGAAAATATTTAGAAATATTGGCCACATTTTTATGATTAAATATTCTGGAGATAAATTTACAGATGGAATGATTTAGTGTCTTACTGTTACCATCATTTCAAGTGATCATGTTGGATGTTTATAACTTTGAATATTTTTAGTTTTAATTAATTCCCCAGATGTCAGGAGTATGCACTTTTCTGAAAGTACAACAATTTGGCTTCTTGGAAGTGTTCTACTACATTTAGTATAGTTGCATTTGGGGGGGGGGCACCAAATAATGATAGTTATCCATGGAAAACTCTGTACAGCTGAATTCAAGTTGCCACTGTGCACTAAAATAGTTCTTGAGTATTGTAGATGAACTGAAGAATCAGAATTTACATAAAAATTGATTTAGATAGATTTTATTGTTTGCACTATTAAATACACAATTCTGCATTATACTTTTTTGTCCTTCTTAAATGCAAAAATATTTACACAATGCTGAGCAAATTCTTTCTGAAGAATTTATGGACGTTTTTATGGTTTATCCCCTGAAATGCATTAATGAAATTGGAGCCATTTTATTATATTTGAGCTCATTTAACTTTTGCAGAAAGAAATATTAGCAGTCTTTGACCTTAAGATCCTCAGTGATTTTTCTTTTTTATTTTTTATTTTTCCTTCCTCCTCCAGGTTTGCAGCTAAGACTGTGCACAGTGGGTCACTGATGCTAGTCACAGTGGAGCTGAAGGAGAGCTCTACAGCACAGCTCATCATAAACACTGAGAAAACCGTGATTGGTTCTGTTCTGCTGCGGGAGCTGAAGCCTGTCCTGTCCCAGGGGTAACCTGCTTACATCTGGACTTCAGAATCTGGCACACAACAAAAGTGCCTGGCATCCACTACTGCTGCCTTTCATTTATAATAATAGCCCTTCCATCTGGCAGTGGGGGAAGAATACACTCTTGACATTCTTGTCTTCTGCTTTAGAATGCTAGTGTGTATCTATCATGTATGCAAGTCCTTTCCTTTTTTTCTGCTTGCTAACCAAAGAACATATATTTTACTGTCAGTTATCTGCGCTTTTAAATATATTTCCCATTTGTTCTACCCTAGTCCTTCCCTCTCTGCTCCCTTCCCCCGTTACCCTTCTTCCCCATCGGTTTTCCCCACTGTAGTGGACAAATACTAGATAATAAAGTTCAAGGGAAATCACACTGCTTGAAAAGTGAGTTAAAATGGCAGGTAGGTTCTGGCAACATATACAACAGCTACGTGGTTCAGAGAGGTTTTGTTGCATAAGTGTAAAAATACAATAGGTACAGTGAAATGGTGTTTGCTTTCTGGAAACGCTTGTAAACCTGAACTCATCTATTAAGAACATTGTTCCCACCTATTGCCATTTTCTCAAATGTTTCTGTTAAGATGCCAATAAAGTAGTGCTCTGAGCAGAGGCTCCCTCTTTCTTGTTTTGGTAGAGAACTGATAATGATGATCGACAGTATTGTATATAACTGGTTAATTAAAGTAAATACTAACAAGGCTGGACACCACATATGCATCAGCACAGTGTTGTGAAAGTAGCCAGTGTTTGTGCCCCTATTGTAATTTTCTGCTATGCGGTTACATTTTTGTTAATAAACAAAGCCAGTAGCTGCCTATTTTCAAATTGGCCCATTCACAAAATACTGATTGAGTTATTAGAGATCAGTGTTACATGAAATCGTGATTATTAGACTGTTGTGGCAAATACTGTCATCTAGCTTCATAATTTATTCAGATCTTTGCTTCAAATTCCCATTGTAAACTGAGATTAAAATGTCTCCCTCCTGTGCTCAAGGCAGGGCTCGAAGCAAAGAGAAATTTATAACTGTATCTACTGAACTAGGGCTGAGAAGACCAACAGCCGTGCAACCTTTGTTGCACCCAGTTTTCTGCCTGTAGCCTGGGTGTCACTGATTTTGATCTTCCCTTCACATTCTGGTTACCTGGTAGGACTGAAGATGCTGAGCTTTGTCATTTCATATTAGTTCTCCTCAATTCCAGCATGGCTTTTCCTAGGAGCTCATGGCTCTGCTACAGATGTTTGCATGACGCAGAGAAGTTGTTTGGGTAACTACCCTTGCTCTTTCACCAGGACCCTTGCATGGTCCTTTGATGCTGACTGAGTGGTGCTGTTTTGGTTTAGCTTTCTGGATGATAGGAAATATTGCTTCATCAGAAATGTTGCATTACTGCACACTGAAAAATTATTCTAGAATTTTCTACTAAAATTTGGTAGAACTAAAAAGTAGCTCCAACGTATGGCAAAGTCTATTGGCAAATTCTAAAGAGGTGGTAGTTTTTTTAGGTATTTAAGTTGCAGTTCTGTAAGAAATGCATGAAATTTAAGAAATGTAAGAAATATACTGGTACTTCTCAGACAAAGAAACAAGAATCTTATGCCCTCAACAGAAATTTACATGTTTTTAATCAACATTTACATTATTTTCTAAAGTCCTAATCCTGCAATAAGTTTTTTCTTGAATTGCAGTTTTCAAGTGTGATGTAAAAGTTATTCAAAGAGAAGGAAAATTATTCACTTGTAGAAAATACCATCAGCTCAGAGAAAATGTTGATTGGTCTAGATGGTATCTGATACTAAGACTCAGTGAGAAGGTGGTGAGGGAAGGGTGCAGAACCACGTTTCCTGGGAAAAGGCTGAACTACAAAACCTTCAGCCATGTTTGTAAAAGAGAAAACAAACAAGAATTGTTTCTTGCATCACAGTGTAAATCAAAGGAAAGTATATTAATACTAGATGTTACACACGTTTCTGAGTAATTTCTGCCTCCCTAGAGTACCTTATACGCTTTAATAGTGAAGCCCAGAAACATGTGTACAGTAAGGATATTTGGGGAGTTTCTGGTATTAATTTACATTTTTCAACACTTTGTGACTTGGTCCAGTGGTTCAATAACTCTTGATACAGATATCTGGACTGATGGTGTGATTTGAAAATTTATGCTGCCTTCCCCATATAGTAATTTGGGAAGAAACTGTCTTTAAAGACAGATATTTAAATAGTAAAATATCTCTGCATGCAGTAAAGCTCAGCTCTTCAGGAACCTAAACATGAGCACATGTACATGTCTTAACATTAATAGTGAAAGTTGCACTCAGTCATAATTCAGCCAGTTAGCAGTAGTTAACAATAGTTTCTTGGTTTTGCTATATATCATTTTTATTCACTTTCTTCCATACTTTTCATCATTTATAGAGGCATATTACAGGTTATTAGGATATGAAGTAGATGACTAGTCTAAATTGCAATATAGAATTCACTTCAGAGTGATTTGCTTCTACCAGGCAGCAGCAGATCCGACCTCTATGGGCAGGCTTTTCAGTCAGGAGCTGCACACCGAAAACCACCCAGCTTCGGTGAGAATCTAGACCTGGGCAGCCTTGGAACATACTTGCATGTGCAACTTGGGAAGCAGGCGCAAGGCTAAAGCATAGTATTGCAGGACTGGTGAGGTGGGTTTTGCTAAGGTCATTAGGGAATTGTATCAAGGTATAGTTTAGGGAGCAGGAGGTGAGGGTTAATTACGTAAATTATGAAGGGTCCAAATGCAATGGAACCTGCAGATAACAACTACAAACTGAAATGTATTATCATAAACAAGAAATTTGGGTATAATGTTATTAGTTATTGTAATTCACTTATGCCCAAGGTAAGTAAAACTCAAAGAGACTCCAAAATTACTGTGATCTAGGCCAAGCTTTAAAAGTGATGCTGGTAATTATGGATTGAAGAATGCAACGAGAGTGAGGGCAAACAGATGAGAAAGTTTCTGCATAGTGAGAGATTGACATTTTACCTCTTCTTTGCTTCGTGGTTGTTTCCACACACACATATTCCCCTTTGTGAAGAGGAAGGGTTTTTTTCTTTTTTTTTTCTTTTCTTTTTTTTAATATAACTTTTTTCAAATTTTCAAATTTGTTATTCCAAAATAACTCAAACCGTTTGGAAAGAATAGGGTATGGGAAACAGTTGTTATGTTACTATGGATGGCAGAATATAAACATAGGCTTGATGCATGACAGTCAACATAATTTGTTTTTTTCCTTTTATTTTCCTTCCACATTTTATGATGTTGTATAAAAGGATAACATTTTTTTTCCCCCTGTATACCCTGCTTTAATTCTAGTAGCTAATTTCCAAAGAAAAATAACAAAAATAGAAATGGGTCTAGAGCTCAGAAGAAAATAATGCAACATATAAATAGAATACTGTGTGAAGGGATAGTGGAAATAATTGAAGTGTTTATAGAGCAGGGACACGATACAGTATATGAAATAATGAATGCATAGAAAAGATAAATTGGGCTTTCCTAATGATCTTTTCTACTAACTCAGTAACAAGGTGGCATTCTGTAACATTTCTAAAGCAATATATGTAAACTGGAGGAGGGAATTAGCTTTTTTTTCCCGTTTTAAAACACAACATGTACTTAAGCTCTTGTCATCTGCTGTCACAAGATAATACGATGTTTACTAAAAGTTGAACAAAACTGGAAATGTACATTAGCAAAGGAATATACAGATCTGTATTGAATAGGATACAAAAAACCATAAGTGCTCTAAATCCTCTTGATCTGAGGCTTAGGCTAATTGCTGATATTTGGTGATAGGATCAATCCTTTTGCACACTTTGTTTTGCAGTGGTCCATTACTGTAATTATTATCAATTCTTTAAAAAAAAAAAAAATCAGTTACTGAACTGTCTGTTTTTGCATACAATATCTTATATGCTTGAATTAATTTTAACCTAGCACTTAAATGCCCTAACAAGGATTCTGGTAAGCAACGTACAGGTAAGTTGAATCCTCCCAAGCCCTCATCTGACTTTCAGTGTGTGCCTGAAACAAGCATATGAGGATTGGTCTCCATTCCCCTCATTTGCTGTCAGTTTGTCTTCCTCCCCTTCCCCATATTTTTGTTTGTTTTGTCATAAAGTGCATGTTCTTATAACACTTGTGTTGTATTAAATGTTTTGTGGTGCAGGCACCAAGCTTTGCTGTGTTTGCATAGTGTGGTTTCATTGCTGGTAGGAGCCTTTGTGCACAACCCTGATAAAAGCAATGCTTCTGTTCAGGTTATTTTCCTCTTCTCTGGTATACTTGTTGTGCTCTGTGTAGCACAGTCCAGTGAACCTGCTTGGAAGAGAAAGAGGTGGTGAGCACCACTGCATTTCCAGTCCCACAGCTAACTGGTTTTGCTTCAGAAGGTACAAGGTGAACTACTTTTCAGTGGCTGGTAACTGAGCCCATGCTGTGACCGTACTGCCCCAAAAATCCTGATTCACTTAAATCCTTGTGTACATTCTGGTGCATATACACATACCTTTGCAAATAGCATTATTCTAAACTCCTTTTCCCCATTGTGCATGTATAAGAGAGAGGGAAAAAACGAGTTTTGCTGGCTTCCACCACTGCTTTTCCAGTCCTCTCCAGGTTCCAGCCTGCTCTCACCCCACTTCTGGTGACCTGCCTCCTCCTTTGGCCTCCTTCCCAGGCATGGCTTTTGGGGAAGAGGAAAGGGGACAGCAGCTCTGCCCTTAGCACCATCTAATGGAGCACGCATGTTGTGAGTCACCGTCCACATCTCCATGCCGGGCTCTGGCTCAGCCCAGCCCTGGTTTTTCTCCTTGATGGGAAGGATTTAGACTAAGCCTTGCAAAAACAGCTGGCAAGTCACCCCACTCCTTCAAGAATGAGCAAGAGCTGTTGGTGTGCTCAGGTCCTTCTCACTCTCCCGCCCTGTAAAAATGCTAGTGGACTCTGGACAGGCGGTGGAAAGGTGGTGAAAGGTCTTCTCTTGTACCAGCCATGACTGACAGCCATTCAGCCGCTAGCCATGGCAGGTGGGTGAGGGAGATGGCCGGTAAAAGCGATGGTGCCTCCAGCCACCCTGCAGAGCTTCAGACTTGTCCTTCACCATGGGACACCCACCAGCTCGGACTCACAGCAGCACCCAGAGCCCGGCAGCTGGAGCAGAGCGGGTAAGGGAGGGCAGGCGCCTTGGGAGAGGCAGCGTCAGCTCTTCTCCTTCTGCAGCACCATCACATCTGACCAAAACAGCTGCCCCTCCTCACCTCCAAGCATCACCAGCAGCCACAGGCCGTCCATGTTCAGAGGGCTTTGAGGCCTAGGCAGCCAGGGAGGCTGGCAGGTAGCTGTAGCTACAGGCACCCCTCGACCTGAGGCCTGGTAGCTGTGGCTTCACAGGGCAGGTGGAGCGGCCTCTGCCCACCCTGCAGCCACCCAGGCACACCTGGCCTGG